AAAATTAATTTATGGCTTAATTGAAACAAACACAGAAATTAAGCTAAGCAAAACCGTGTAAAAACAAATTGAAATGATAAAACGAAACTTAATTTTCATGTGAATTTTCAGCGCTGACTCTCCCATTCTAGAAATTTCAATTTGTTTCAGACAAAGACCACATTTAGCTTTAAGGATTGCCATCCATCAATATCCAGTCTTTGTAGTCAGCTTGATGAAGCCACAGTTTATTGAAAATGCACTTTCCAGGCATCTCGTTCCTATTGGCGTTGGAAGGGTTGTGGCCATCCAGGTTGGGATTGCTCTAATTTTGGCAAATATTTTCAGAATCCCCCCCTTTTTTTTCTCGAGCACCTTCATCATAACTTTCGCCTCTTAAAGAACTTCCAGCTTCACGCTTTCGTCACAATCTGCCTAAATTTATGGATAACACCTGTTTTGAAAGATTGGGTGAATAGCCAATCAGACACCGATACTTTCGTTCGGGTAGCTAATTGTTTTTTTTTTTATCGTTTGCAACGCAAATCCGCCAACAGATTGGTTAAGAGCCGTGTAATTTTAATTCCATATTCATGAGAAATCGTAATTCACACTTAGAATGGCAATCATTAGAAATGATAAGAAATGTCAAATGAGCAAAATTAAGGACCGTTTATTCATTTTGGCCAAAATTAAGGACTTTTAAGGACCAAAAATCATTTTTGAAAAAATTAAGGACTTTTAAGGACCGTACGAACCCTGATAAATAAAGACTTTTCACAGAAAAGGGGGGGGGGGAATTCTATGGTTGATTATACATGCAGTTCCTATCCTCACACTGAAAATTTCTTCAGTTGAACTGCATTTTTATCCCCCAATGCAACATCTATATCACAGTCCTTAGACAAAGATTATTACTTAGAATTTCAAACATTTCTATTACAACAGACTTCAGAAGGTTATTAAGAATATAGATAACAATGTCAAAATTACAGTGCAAGGTATTTGATGCATAAGGTTATTACGATTTAAGTCTCTAATATAATTTCTCCTTTCTGCATTTCTCACTAGAATACAAATTAGATTTGTATTTATTTAAGATGAGGAATTTGAATCTTAAAGTTAATAGTTTTGGGCACCTGCATCTTGCTATCAGTTATTCTTGCCAACTTTTTTAAAAGTGATATTATGGCTTTAGCATTCTGATAGCCAATGTTTTAAAAAATGCAGCAGTAAAATTCTGAGATACCTTAATTTAGTATATTTTACATGTAACTTTAGACTACATTTGAATTTAACTTTTATTAATTTAAATATCCACAAGCAGTGGAAGTTTCCCCTGCAGCACAAGTTGTGCATGGTCTGTTCAACTTTAGACTACATAAATTTTCAACCTTCTTCAGTATTTTGTGAATTGTTTAAGATGTCGTTATAACTCTAGTAGGATCTGCAAGATTTTAGCTTCCAGTTACAAGAAAACCTTGCAGATGCTATATAAATAATAAATTATGCTTGGCATTCTAGAATTCCTCATATGAAACTACTTTCCTATGTATGGAATTTTCCAATGAGGTACAGAAAACAATTTTAGAAAATTTAGATCTAGAATTTAAATAATACTTGACCACTAACATTATATGAATTATGGTTGAAGATTTACATACAATACAGTTTTCTGAATATTAAAACTTTCCTGATGAAGAAAACAGCCTGGAAGCTGAATTTAACATTATCATCCACAAAGAAGACATTTATAAAATTTTTTGATTTCTCAGAAATCAAAATGGCATAAAAGCAGCTTTAGACATTTAAGAAGTACTGAAGACAATTTATGTTCATTGAAAAAACACAAACAACTTATAAATAACTTGTTTAAAGAAATTGCAAATCCTTTGGAAATATTACTTTTAGCCTCATATTCTACACTTAAAATTCTTCCAGTTTGTTATGTAATTTACTTTTTATTTTCATTTTCTACAACTTTACTGTTTTTACATTTATGTTTTATACAGTTCTATAATTATCAAATTGCCTGTGGGTGAGGGAACTTCATATTGAACATATTATTTCTCCTTAAACAAAATTGATTTTAATCATGGCAAAGTATGCAAACACTTAAGGGAAGTGCTGCCTTCATGAAGGCCTTTTAAACGGAAATTTGCGCAATTTCATGTTACACACGGAGACAACTACAAAACCTGCTAAGCAGCCAGCCTGTTCACTGAGATTTGACCCAGATAGGCAATAAACAAATTTGAAGCTTTATATATGCATGTATATGTGAGATATATACACTCAAGAGCCAAAATATTATGACCAGCCCTACATTTTGCGACGCGCCTGGATGACATGGAAGGCACATCATCATGTGGAAGTGGTACTTAACTGCTGCTGGAGAGTCTGAAGAATCATTCTTTCACTTACTTTTGTATGTGATGGAAAAGGCTACAGATCTAAGCGACTTTGAGAGGGCAGATTGTAATGGCTCGAAGGCTCGGAACAAGTATTTCCGAAACTGCACGACTCGTGGGTTGTTTGCGATCTACAGTTGTTAGTACGTATGAAAAGTAGATGAATGATGGTGAAACCAGCAGTAGACGACATGGTGTTGGACGTCCACACGCTATCAAAGAAAATGGTCGTCGGAGACTGTCTCACATGGTGAAACAAAACCAGAGCCAGACAGTGGCTCAGCTGACAGCCAAATACAATGCAGGGCCATGTAGAAAAGTATCGGAGCACACTGTTCCCACTCGGGGGCCTTTGCTAACCAAGCATCATCGCCAACTGCGCCTGCGCTGGGCCCGGAACATCGCAACTGGTCCATGGATCAGTGGGAGAGAGTTGCCTGGTCAGATGAATCACAGTTTGTCATTCATCATGCCGATGGCTGTGTCAGGATACGCCGTCTTCCAGGCGAACAGTTGCTCCCTCAATGCACAGTAGGTCATACACAGGTCGGTGGTAGCGGTATTATGCTCTGAGGGACGTTCTCTTGGGCGTCTCTGTGACCCATGGTTGTGGTAGAGCAGACCATGAATGCTACAGGGTATCTGAACATCATTGCGGACCAGTTGCACCCTTACATGGCCTCTGTTTTTCCAGCTGGAAATGGAATGTTCCAACAGGACAACACTGCGTGTCACAAGGCTACAATTGTGTTGGAGTGGTTCCAGGAACATGATACTGATTTCCAGTTAATGTCCTGGCTGCCTAACTCACCGGATCTGAATCCGATAGAACACATTAGGGATGACATGGGAGGCAGCTCAGAGGTCAAAGACCACCAATTCGCAATATCTCAGATTTGCATGACCGTTGCTACAACATCTGGTACAATCTGTCTCCGGCCATCTATCAAGGACTTGTGGCATCCATGCCAAGGCGGGTTGAAGCTGTGTTGCGCGCTAAAAATAGACCAACTCGTTATTGACAGGTGGTCATAATGTTTTGGCTCTTGAGTGTATATATGTGTGTGTGTGCAAAGCATAAACATAAAATATGAGACAAAATTATTGAACTTTACCAATTGGCAATAGAACCTTAAATTCATAATTTTTAATTAAACACATCATCACATCAAGGTGATTTGCACCATTTTGTGTCACTCTTCAACATTCTACAACACTTTCTCTGCACTGCTAAATCTTTAGCCCAATCACTGCTCAAAATTAACATTAACACTTGAGTAATAAATATTACTGAAATTATTATGCATGACTTTTTCACTTGCTCTGCCAAGGACAATCACATTTCTTCATTAACTTGCATTCTTCTATTGTTCTAAAATGTAGCTGCATATACAAAATTGTGGGGTGCCTACTGCACCCATAATCATGTGTGAAGAATCACTGTGTCTCCAGAATTGCTTCATCCAATAATAAAATTATGTTGAATTCGGCCATGGCTGCAAGTCTATTATTCCATCTATGAAGTAAACATGCTTCAAGTTGCATCTACACTACTGCTGCCAATCCATTACAACTATCACCTACAAAGTTATCTCAGCTGTGACTAAAAATGAATTGGTTTCATCTTCCATTAAAACTATAACATCTCACACACAGATATACTTAAATTTCCTTATTTTATTATATACATATACACACACACTATCATTAAGGGACTAAGAAGAATTAAATGGGGAGCAAAAAAATCCTTACAAAAATCTGTCTCTAGTAATCGTAAAACAGTATGTACAATAGTGATAAAAATTTGAAGATATTAAAAGTATTAAAAAATGAAAACTGTCACATAATTTTTTAAGTACGAAAAATAATATACAGTACAAAGTCCGTAATCGGGACTCGTCGGGACTTCGGATTATAGATCATCAATTTAAATCTGGTAAGATAGCATGCAGAAGTTATACAATTGAAAATATGAAACCCTAATTTATGAAATAAAGAGCAATTATGATCTAAAGGGTATCAAAATTTAAATAAATAAAAAAAAAAAAAAAAAGAAAAAGAAAGCTTAATACTTATTTGTTTATTTTATTAAACATTTCTTTCAATGTAAGTTGTTTAATTTTTTGTGCTAAACGTGCATGTGTAAACATTAAATGTGCATGTGTAAAGTATACAGGAAAAAAAAAAGTTTGTGGCTTTGAGGTCCGGATTATAGATCATTCCGGATAATAGATGTCCGAATTACAGACGTTGTACTGTATAATTAATTTTAAAGACAACAACTTCTAAATTGAATTTATGTAATAAAAGGAGAAGAGGGAATTATATACTAGGTGGGAATACAGAAATTTTGTTACACAAAGAAAAGAAATAAATTTCAATTTCTTGTATCTATTGTCAAAACAGATTTTAAATTATTCATAATGGCAAAAATGCTTTAAAATAAAATAAAAAAAAAAAATCAGCTATATATAGCCAAACACAGCATTAAATATTTGGGGAAAATAAAAATTCAGTTTATGACAATTCAAACAACCAAAATTACATTCAAATAAAAAAAATAGAGTAAAACCTGATGAATCGAACTTTGAAATCAGTGTTCTCACCTACCCATCTCCAGAAACAGAAATCAGATGGCGTCCATTATTTGTAAACTTTAGACCAGTCACAAGTTCTGAATGCCCAAACATAGTTGCTAAGCATTCACCACTATTGTAATCATACAGATATAAGCTCTTATCTGTGCAACTTGTAGCTAAGTAAGTTCCAGAGTTATCAAGCACCACCTGAAATAACAAGATGATTTCATTTTATGGTTTAAACAATAACATATCAAAATTTATTTTCTTATTCTGTATTATTTTTTCTTGTTCTATGCAAATGAAAATATTAATAATACCTTATTTTCTGTATATAGAATAAAAAATCAATACTTAATTTCTTCTGCATAGAATAAAACTTAAAAAAAAAAAAAAAAAAAAAAAAAACCATCAAGAATGCTACCCCCTTTTCACAAAATTAATTACAGTACAAAGTCCGAAATCCTGACTTGTTGTTGGAACTTCGGCGATTCCAGATTTAGGATTTTTCTTGATATTAGATCATCCGTTTAAGTCTAGTAAGATGGCATGTAGAAATTATAAAATTAAAAATATGAAATCATGATTTACAAAATAATAAACCATTTATAATATAAAGGGTATCAAAATTTAGGGGGAAAAGGATTAATATTTATTCGTTTTCTTTATTATATATTTGTTTGAATGTAAATTATTTAAGTTGCTTCATTTTTTCTGCTAATACTTCCTCTTCAGTTTTATAGACAGATATAATTTCTTGTTCAGTTACAAAGTTCCACTGCTGAAATCCTGTCAATCGAAATTTTTTCGCTTTTCAATAACATCTCTATCACTTTCTTCACTATCGGCAGCATTATTTTCTGGATCTAGAACCTTACTGCAAATTTCACCGTCCGTTAATTGATTGATGATTGTAGCATAGTCATCGCAATGAAAAATTTCTGCTATATGATCTTTTTATTACTTCTCTACATTTCTTTACAAAATCCATTAATTGGAAAACATCCCCTCTGATTTGTGATATCCAAAAGGCTTCAGATTTGCGGCTATCACATCTTCACCCTCACCATGAAATATGGCTATGATAAATTTATAGTTTCTAGCCGTAAATTATGCCAAGTATTTTAAAAATTATCTGGAGGGTCATCCTCCCATGATCTTGTGACTCTCCATACAGCAGATTTTATGCTAAAACATTAAAAAAATTCTTGAATTGTCTTGCCACCATTCAAGAAATTTAACATTGATTTTAAAAATGCTACTTTATATTTGCATTTCAGCGCACACTATTCCGATATCCTGAATGATGGACGACAGTTTGGAGGAAAGACTACCAAGGATACATTATCTTTCATTAAAACTTTAAGTGAAATATGAGCTGAACAGTTACCTACAATCAGGACAATTTTTGTATCATCAGGTAAACCAACTGAATTCAAATTTTGCCAAGCCTCGGTTATGAAATGATTTTTCAAACCAATCATACATTAATGCTTGTGTCATCTGTGCTCTTTTATTTTGCATGATATATAGTAGGGAAATTTTTACTCCTTTAAATGTTTGAGATCGTGTATTTTTTTTTTTTTTTTTGATTACGAAACGTTTACACTTAAGCATTCCTGCAGCATTTGCACATGCTAAAATTGTCAGTCCAGCTTTGGCATCTTTGACACCACATGGATCCTATTCTCTAGAGGTTGTCACAGTATTGCCAGGTACATATTGCCAGAAAAGACCAGTTTCATCAGAGTTTTAAATCTGTCCTGGAGATAATGTTTCACTGTTAATGAGTTTGATGAATTCACCTGCAAATAGTTCAGCAGCTTCAGTATCAGCTGAAGCTTTTTCATCTGAAATTTTTAATTGCATTATACCATGGAAATTTTAAAATTTGGTTAACCAATTTGTCAAATGTGTGCACCCAGTTTTTTAGTTCATTTCTTCATGAAATATTTTGGCTTGAACCATTAGCATAGGACCCATCGCCCTCGCTGCATCTCAGTTTGCCCATTCAATCACTTTTAGCATAGCGAATAATTTTTCTGTTATTCACTGAGAGTGGGGAGTCAGCATCTACAAAAAATTAATATTCTTTTTATATTATGCCATATACAGTTGACTTTTATCTGCCATACTCCTTGCATAATTTTGAGACAGATATACCTATATTCACTTTTTGCAGCAATTCCACTTTTTGTTTAATGGACATCAAAACATTTGTTTAATGGACATCAAACAACAAACATTTGTAGATACTGTTGCAGTTCCAGAATTAGAAACTCTTTTCATCATAACTGAAAGTTCAAACTTTAGTTTTCATAAAATTGCTGTAATTATAACAGCTTGCATAAAATAATAATCAAATCAGAAAGTTATGGAACAGCATAATCTGCTATATTAACTGAAATTATTTTGGAATAAGTTAAGTATAATTTTAACCTAGCTTTAACTGCATCCACTATACATTATTGACTATGTAGCATGAGATTGACTACGAAAGACAAAATGTTCCATTAAATTTTGTCTTATTTCTATTGCACACCGAGAGTTATTCATTATATTTATATCTCTAATTCTTGCACATGTTTAAGGCTTATCTGAGTCCTGAATAAATAAATTCCTACATATACTTAACCTTACTGAGGGCCTGCACTGGATATTTTGCCACCTGATGGAGTCTCTGCAGGTCTTAAATTCTGCTACCAAGCACCTCCCTAAGTTCTAAATTTTTGCTACCCCATAATTTTGGTTTCCAATGCCTTTCCTAAATTGTAAAAAAATTATCATCCTTAATTTTGTTACTTGATGCTTCTCTAAATTCCAAAAATTTTGTCTCCTCTAAATTCTGCCTCCTGGGGCGGCCATATGAAGTTCTGGGTTTATAAAAAATCAGTTATTCTTAATTCAAACAGCACTAAATGTAATCTTCTGGCTTATGAGTATCATTAACAAAATCTATTTTTAGCATATGGAAAGAAATTTTTGTTAAATTTTTCCTTGTCACCATTTAGTGCATTTAACTTAAATCTGTAATCATCGGTAAGCATAATGTCAACACAAAAGGTTTCCTACTTTTTGTTATTCAATTAACTAATATAAAAAAATTCTTTAGGCATTGTTGCACAAGTCATAAATCAAATTGTCATGTGCTGATAAACATACGGTGATGAAAGCAAAATGTAATAAATGATTCATCAGATTGGCATCAGGGATATAAAATATTAGTAGTTGTAAAATCAAGGATGTTTCTATGTAGAATGTTTCAGTTTGAGATGTATGCCAAGCAGATACGGAGTCAAATTATTAATCACACAAATGTATGGTAAAATGATTGTTTCTTCAATAATGAGGTAATTTATTTAGTGCAAAAGTGAAATTAAGAATTTGGATTTTCCACATGTTTTCTTATGAGGGGAAAAAATGAAATGCACTTGCATAAAGCATAAAAAAAAATTAGTTCTGACAGGTTTTACAAATTTATAATGCATCAAAACTAAGAACAGCAGAACCATTAACAGAGTACATAGTAAAACACGATTGGCTGAATTTGAAGATACCGTGAAACCATATGCTCTCATTGAAACAGATCAGTTCAAATGTCAGAAAGCAATGCAATAAAAGAGCCCAACAGAAAATATCTCATGATTAGAAAACCAGAGCTACTAATAGATGCTTTCAGCATTAGATTGTAAATAACAATATAAAAACTAAAGAAGGACCATATATAAAAAAACAAACAATAATATAATAATCCTTATGGCAACAAAAGAATCCAAACCTTATTACATACACTATCTTAAATTACATTTTTATACTAGGAATACACTGTAATATAATAATTCAAAAGATATGAAAGCTTTCATGTTGCTTGGCTTGACAATAGCTTTCTGTTTTAACAACAAAATTAAATTTTTTAAACATCAAAAATTACTTCCCCCTTTCTTAATACATATAAATCCCTTACAAAAGCTATATTATCTGAATTTTATAAGCAGAATTAAAATACCTTGATTAAGGTTCCATCTTCCCCTTGTGAACCACGAAAACAACGCCCATGTTTACCATTCATAACAGAATAAACTCTTATATTGCGATCTTGACAAGCAGTCAAAATGTGTTTCTGCTGAATATCAACTTCCATGTCATACAGAGTAGTTTTTCCTACAACATGATGCTCCCTCAATAAAGATAGCTGAGGATTCTAAAAATAAAAGTACACATAAATGACAAAATAAAATAATTTATAAATGGTGTTAGTCAGAAAATAAGACAGAGAAAGCTAGCATATGTATTAATACCATCCAAACTATATTAACATTCATTTGATTTTCAAAAACTTTAAATATATATATATATATATATATATATATATGGTTGCAACAAAAGTTTTCCGCTACAAAACGTTCTTAATAAAGTTAGGAAAAAACATGAAAGCAGTAACTTTAGTGTGGGAGGTAATCACCGCCCAAATCTATGATTTTCTGCCTCTCCTCCCCCCTTTAAAGCCTACAGCCCAGAAACTTGATAGCCACAAGTCCAAAAACAGATCAATCCCATTTAAGAGGTCCTGTGCAGTATGGGAGATAGAACCCGCAAGATGTAGCTGCATGTGTGAAAAATGGTAGAAGTTCGAAGAAGCGATGTCGGAGCTATATGGTAGGTGTGGCAAAAGATCCTATTCGAGTTCGTACAGAGTTCAATGAGCTGGTGAATGCAGACACATGTGGTCTTGCATTATTTTGATAAAACATTATCTTTTTGTGCCGGAACTCAGTTCGACGTTTTTCCTCGATGGCAACATAAACATGTGCCACTTTTTGTGGATAATACCATAGCAATCCCTCAAAATACAAACCATGATCTTTTTATTAGTCAAATTTCACTTCGCAATGCTGCTAACGGGCTCACTGGGAGTAGACCAACTCCCTTTTCGGCCTGTGTTGTTGAATTAAATCTTTTTTTCATCACAAGTGACGATTTGATCCAGAATTTTGTCCTTGTGTTGATATTCACAAAGATTAGTGCAGGCCTGAACACGTCTGTCCTTATCTGCTTGAGTCAGCTCATGTGGCCCGCAGCGACTGAATTCATACATCAAGATGCAATGCATAGGGCAACTAATGGACATGGCATTAATGTCCAACTCATCAACAAGTTCTCGAGTGGTTGCCTACTGATCTTCTTCCACAAGTTCTCATAGGCGAGCCTTATCAACATCAGTAGATCGGCCAGAGCACTCTGCTTCTTGAATGCCATAGTCCTTGTTTAACTTTTGGTACAAAACCTGCATCATAACATATGACACAACATTAGTACCTAAAGGTATACACATGTTTTGGTGACATTCTGTAGCAGACTTTTTCCAACAGAACTGGAAGTAAATGATGGTTCTACTCTGGTAGCGTAATAATTCCATTTCAAACACCTTGTACTTCATGATAATGATATTTTTCAAATTTTACAACATAGTGTTAGTGCCAAAAATCATTTGACAAATTATGATTAAACATGTCAATGTTTTGTGCAGGCAATATTTGCAGTGGCGGAAAACTTTCGTTAAAACCCGACATATATATATATATATATGCATATAATTAATTACATGCACTAATATCAAGTTCATTTGCTTGAAATGGAAGGGAGGTAGAAAACACAGCCTGTGAGATTTTATCAAATTTACAGACCTCTTACCCCCCAAAAAAACTGCTTCTGGTCTTCCATAGAGTACAAAAAATAATCTTTTCCATACAAATTTGTCATGCTACTGAATTCAAGTACTCTGGTATCTAAATTAAAATCTAGCAAAATATGCCTTACTGATTCATAAATTAAAACCCAACATACATGTTTAATTCTGCAATAAATGTTAAATTTTAAATGTTTTTGCAACAAATGTTTATTAAATAATAATGCTTAATTTTCCATTTCTAAATATTATATTCATAGTTTACCAATGAATATTTGCCCATCTAATATCTCTTAAAAATGACAGTAAATTTTCACATTTTTCAAGTAATTATACACTGTTATTATAAGCATTAAATTTTAGAGACAAAAGAAACAAAAAGGGGGAAAAAGAAGAAAATAAAGAATTTATGAAATGATCAACTTTTTTTTTTTTTTTTTTAATTATTTATTTGTTGAAAACATGTTAACTTAAGAGAAAACATTTTTAGTTACTTTACTAAATGTATAAAATGTACTTAACTTACTAAATATTAATAAATATATAGAACTTTTTAACACAAATTCAATCACATAAAGCAAAATTCTTAATATGTAACTGAGTGTAATTCTTCTGTTTGCTTTTATTACATTTTTTTTTTCTTTATGAACAAAACATAAGAGAATGTTAATCATATAAAATATTAACACTTGTAAGAAAATTGAAAAGTAAAACTTTAAAAAAATCTTAAAATGTTTGAAGATTATATTATTTTCTTACAAAAACTGCTTTTCTAAATATTATTGACTTGTCAGCACCACATGAAATCATCTGAAGATCTTGATCACCCTGTACAAATCTCACTGCTGTGATTGAAGAAGAATGATCATCTAATGTCTGCTGAAATGTATATTCTTGTTTAACTTCAAAAACATGTATAAGCCTATCTCTACTTGCAGAAGCAAGGTATTTTCGTTCAACACCTATTAAAAAAAAACACACATAAAAAAAATTAGTTTTCTCTCAGTCATTCATCCCAAATTATGAGTCATGAAATTTTGAAGTAAAGTATGAAGTTACAAAAAACATGATTTTTACCATTGATTGTGATGGGTTTTGAATATTCAAGACATAAAACTTCTGAATCATGAGCTTCTATTTTACATAATTCTTCAACAAATTTTAAATCGTGTATTCTAAATTGAGAAAACAAAGAAAAATTTTATTCTATACACCTATTTTAAAAACATGAACAAATTATTTCTAGTATGACATCTTAGAAAATTTAATGCTTGCAAAAATAAAACCCAAAATTAAAAATGCAACATGTCCACGTGTAACTTAATCCTGGTAATAAATTACTGTTATAAAGGACTCATTTATGAGCCCATGCAACACAACCCTGCAGTCAAAATACATAATCCATTCTTATAACTGATAAAATGCACCATATGAATTTAATATTAAAAGAATTTATCCCAGAGTACATTTCACTCACATGCACAATGCATATTAATCTCTCTACAAATATCTTGCTTGATATTATTTAACCTCACATACACATAACTAACACATACATAACTGACATAACTACACATATACATAAACATACATATTTGAATTTAACAAATAATCTCTATTCGTATAAAGCTAACATAAATTTTAAATTTAATTGAGAAATTTTAGTTGCAAAAATAAAATAAAAAAAATTTTTTATTAGTTTTTAAATATAAAAATTAATTATTATTAATTTTTTTAATAAATTTTTATTAATTTTTAAAATAAAAATTAATATAATTTTTTTATTTTTTATATTTAAAAATATATAAAAATAATAAAATATATAAATAATTTATATAAATAAAAAGTATTAATTTTTTTATTTGTGCTATTAAAATTTTTCAATTAAATTTTAAATTTACATTAGCTTTATACAAATAGAGAATATTTGTTAAATTCAAATTTCATTCTTTGCAGCATGGTGCAAGATAATTATTTTAATTTAATTTAAATTTACAATATTCTTGTGAAACATAAATATGCATATATATGTATATATGTAAGAAAAATAAAGAATATATAAAAGATTAAATTAGTAACGTAAATTTCTATTCTAAAAATAGTAACTGATCTCTGCCTCATTTTGAGACTATTCGATGTCATATGATTCTTACATAATTATGATCGACGTAAATGGAACTAAAACTCAACCAGCCAATAGTAATTTTAGAGCAATATTAACTGTCCAATCAGTATGTAATTGAGAACCAAAACTAACTCAGTTTGACTTGAGATTTCATCCTGAACATAATGCACTTCCACACTTTGGCCTAGCTAGACTGATGTCAGTCTGCTGCTGCTTTCTTGCTACAAAGTTATCAAAAATGTAAGCCTTTTGGAACAGGCACATTTAATGTGCCGACTTGTGTGTAGCCGCAACATGTTGCTGAAAATAAAGATTTAATCTGCCTTCGCCTCCAATTTCCTAGTCATTATGGATCAACAACTTCTATGCCATCAAAATTCCTGCTCCTGAATCTATTACATATATATGTATGACACACGATATGTATGTATATATATGTATGACATACATATATAACTTACATATACAGTACAAAGTCTTTAATCCGGACATCATAATCTGGAATGATCTTTAATTCGGACCTCAAAGCTACAAACTTTCTGCACGCGCATGTGCATAATACGTTTATGCATTGTGTTTAATGTATAACGGACGGTATAAGCTAGGGTAAAATTATCTATTTCAGTTAATGTTGCAGATTGCGTTGTTCCTTAATCTTCTAATTGGATATGGCTTATTATTTTTTGCGGACTGTTAGAGCAATTTTATAAAAAGTAAGCTTGAACTTTCGATTATGTCAAAAAACAGTTTCCGATTCTGGAGTTGCCAAAGGATCTACAAAGCAGAAGCATGTTTCGATGTACGCTTCCGATAGTGAAGAAAGTGACAGAGAGGGTAATGAAAACAAAAAAATTTCGATTGACAAGTTAATCTTGACACAGCAATTACAGGACTTGATAAGTGGAACTGAACAAGAAATTATGTCTGTTTATAGAATTAAAGAGAAAGTATTAGCACAAAAAACGAAGCAACTTAAACAACTTACATTGGAAGAAATGTTTAATAAAGTAAACAAATAAATATTAAGCTTTTTTTGTTTGTAAATTTTGATGCCCTTTAGTTCATAATTGCTCTTTATTTCAGAAATTATGGTTCCATATTTTTAATTTTATAATTTCTGCATGCCATCTTACCAGATTTAAATTGATTATCTATAATCCGGAATCACCGAAGTCCCGACAAGTCCAGTTTAAAGACTTTCCACTATACATAACTGACAAGTATGATATACATAACTGACTGTTTTAATTTACCTGAAAAAGTAGCATTATAAGTTGCATTAACTGAATATAAACAGCATAATGCATATCAGGGTAACAAATAATGCTCATTAAAATTATATGCCAAGGAATAAAATTTTAAGAAACACATTTGTTAAATTATATTAATAATTTTTTTCATCATTATTAGCTTTTAAAAGTGTAGTTTAACAGATACTTTTTGGGTAAAAGGGTACTAGCTGTAATTGTGTCAAAATGAAAAATGCGGTGTAAAGAATGCTCCTGAACTCTCTACTAGAAAGATCTATGATGCTCTCGATTAGAGATCACACTACGAGGACTATAATTCATTTTTAATTCATATTTTAAAGAACTGTGAATGGCAACGACTTAACGGAATAATACGCATGCGTATAGAGATGAGAGTTCTGTTGAGACGCCTGTGAGAGAAGAGTTTGGGAAGCTCCGCCAGCGAGCTAAGGTGTGGAGACTAAATTTGTCCATTGATGATGAGTGCTATCTTCGTTAACGTCTCTGATCGTGTGTCACCAACTCGGATATGTACTCAAGTTTTTTCTAAATGTATTAATTAAATGTTGTATCTGTGTTACGCTGTGTGAATAAAAGTGATGGATCACCACTACCAGTGTTGATACTGAAGCATCCACGACGTTACAGACGAAAAGAAATAAAAAATTTGGAGGTTCCACCGAGATTTGTGTGACAAGAGACCAGGTATGTGTTCTCCACAATATTCATTTCCAGGCCTGAAGTGTATAATGTAGTTATTTATTACTTATTCGGGAAATCAATTCCCAAAGCAGAAGTAGCACATCAGTGCATAAGAGTTTTAAACACTCAATGTGTTTGGTTTATATATCTAACAAGATATTTTCCTTTTGTGGTATATTCGGGAAAACATTTTCCCATTAACACGTAGCACATCAGTGCATTTTATAGCACGTCAGTGCATAAGAGTTTTTTAAAACAATCAAAGTGTTGCATTTATATATCTAACGAGATATTTTTCTTTTGTATGATAATGGGAAAAATCCATTCCCGTAAATAAACAGCACATCAGTGTATTTATGTTTAACGTTTCGTTATAAATTGGTGTGATAGAATCTGAACTGTTTATTTTGTGTATATGTGAAAGCACATCAGTGCAATATTGCAATTTTCATTTCTAAGTCATTAGAAGAAAATTTATGTTAAATTCTTGTGAAAGAAATAAGTTGTTGAATATATTAAAAACTTGTTACTTTGGTTTTCTCATGAAAGCACACCAGTGCTGTATTTTAATATGATGTGTATTTTCTGATAAGTAGAATGTTAAATTTTATCATTTCATTTTAAAATTTTAAAGCTTTGAGCAGTAAAGAAATGTTCTAATAGTGTTCTGATTTAAAACCTGCGCCTATCGAATTTACGTAGTAATTTGCGTTGGCCATGTGGTTGCCAACGGAAGTAGCTGTCATGAAAACGATAGTTAATTAAAGGTGTTTATATTTATTGGCGCCACTCTGGTTTTTTTCTGTCTGGCTGTACTAAATGAAAAGAATTTGTTATTATTTTTTATACGAAGTATTCAGTAAGGTTGTTTATTCGTTTTATGTTTGAATGGAAATAAATCCAAAGTGATTAATGCTTTTATTAACCTTTTATTTTTATTTGCCTAATTTTGTAAGAAGAAGAAAGTTAGTGTTTTTTTTTATATCTCTGATATATTTTTATGTGTATTATTTGTGAATAACTATTTGAGTTCTTATTTGTTTTGAACAATTACTTTTGTGAAAATGGCATTTTTGGGGAAAAGCTAAGAAAAGGGATCTATTCCTTGTCGCTTCAGAACTTGGGGAAATAGCTTTAGAAGATATGAAAGTGATAGATTTAAAACAATTTAATAACGAATAGTAAAAATTATGAGGAAGAATTTGTTAAAAATTTGTTAGAAAGTATTATGACTGATAGGATAGAAAAGGAAAACTTAGAGAAGCAAACAAGAGCGAAAGAATTACAGTTAGAACAGGAAGCTAGGGAGAGGGAATTTCAGATACTACAACAAAATAAAGAAATTGAAAAGCAACAGTTAGAACTAGAATGCCTTAAAGCAAAACAGAACACTGAATCTGCTAAACCTGGAGGTGAAACGGTATTTAATCAGAATTTTCAGAAACTAATGCCCAAGTTTAATTTAAAAAACTGATGATATCAGTTTATTCTTAGAACTTTTTGAGAGGCAAGCTAAAGTTCTAAAATTGCCCACGGATCAATGGGTGTCATATCTCATTGGTGTCCTTCCGGTTGAGGTAAATAATATAATTGCTAGGGAACCTGAAGAACAGGCTAGAGATTACCAACATATTAAAGAATTACTACTTAAAAGATTTAAATTAAGTGCGGAGAAGTTTCGGCAACTTCTTGTTAAGACTCAGAAAAATCCGGATTCTACGTGGTACGATTTTTATCACGAAATTAAGACATTTTTAGATGGGTGGCTTAAGGGATTAAAAATCGAAACATTTGAGCAACTCAAGGATTTAATGTTGGTAGATCAGATTAAAAGGCGCACGCCTAATGAGTTTAAGGAACATTTTATAGATGAATGGGCCACGATCACTTCACCAAAACAGTTGGTGGGTAAAATAGAGGAATTTGAAGATGCGAAAAAGACGATGGTTGGGAAAACGAAATTGGGTGAAATGAAAACGAAAATATCAGGTAGACAAATGGGTGTTTTTCAGTCCACTGGTAACGTTTTCAAAAATAGAAAAAAACCCTCAAGGCACACAATTTAAAAAAGATGATGATGCACGCAATGTTGGGAAAA